ACATAAGAGTGGTATTCACAAAGTTGTAAGATGTAGCGTTGTGGCCGCTCAGAAGCGGGCGACAGTGGCACCAGGACCCTCTTTTGACTGTAAGTGGCCTCAGCTCCCATTCCTGCTGCTCGCAGCCTGCCACAGCCTCTGCGAAGGTGATTCTGCGTCTCCTTGTAGAATATACCATTTTGCTTAGCCTTCGCCGTCCCTCGGTCTGCTTCACAAAAAATGAGGCGCTTAATTTTAGCTTAATTGAGATTTTTTTTACCTTCGGTGGTCCCTCTATTCTTCCACGTTCAGTTTCGGGCAAAATAGTGATCATGAGAGGCACCTTTGAGATCTTCACGGTACCATCGTCTGTAGTAAGTAATCTCTTTGGTGATGGTGCAAGGCACCGAAGGCTACCTCAACAGGTCAGAAGGGTTCAACAAATTTATTTCACCGAAAGCAGCGTTAATAGAAGGCTTGCTTTCGAGGGAGAAGAGACATTCGACGCCGTTGAGCCATTTGTAGAAGGTGATCCGGTGCGGAACCTCAGGACCCTAGAAGATTATACTACGCACATTGGTTCGTGGAACACCAAAACGGCACCGAGGTCCTATGAAATGAGAACTTGGAGACTACAAAACAGAATTTTATAAGGCGTTCTGGCCGTTGCCAAATTTATATTTTTGTTGACTGGGCTGCCATTTTGAACAAAAAACAACGGGCTGAAAAAAGGTGAATCACCACTCAAGACAGTTGTCCATTCTGACGCAGCAACGTGCCCTTTAGACGCAGGCGTTTGTTTATTCCGGGAGCGGCCTTTATTTTTGTCAACAAAACAAAACAATAGGAAAATTCATTTCCATATTTATTTCCTATAGAATACCCGTGGAAATACATAGACAAGCAACTATAAAACAATAAGAAAAAGAATTGCAGACAATGACAGAGCACCAGGACCAGTTGTCGTGGTTCACCGGGGTGAAAGCACTTTGTTGGACGTCAGTCACCAAAAATGTTTTTGTGGGTGGATTGGTACTGACGATAGCAAGTCTTAATAAGCTCGAAGACTTGAAGACACGGGAGAAACTCAAACGGATTTGTCGGTTGAGCGGTATGAGCTCGGCAGAACGCAAGACATCGTCCACCTTGAAACGTCACCAGCCCGAACTTCTCACAGCATTGGCTATGATCCACCTAAATTATCGATACATTATTAGAGCTTTTGGTAAAATGGCGTTAAGGGGGACACTTTATTGTGCTCTCCCTCTCTAGGGCTGACCACAGGGACATCTCTAGTGGCAAGAATAAGAATTGATAAAATGTTTGAAGTAATTTGCTGAGGAAAACCGGTGAGGTTCCCGAATTCTACACAATCGATCCAATTCTTTCCACGTGGTTAATAGTGCACCCACTCTGGGTTTCCTTCCCTGCCCCATCCCATCTCCCCATAGGCGTAGGCAAAGGTTTTGCCCTTGACCTAGGATCCCTTTACCACACTTTCGGCTGATTCAACCGGTCTTTATCAAAAAGCTTAACACTCCACGAGCGCTTGGTATCGCTATGTTTAACTGTACTCCAAAAAAGTGCACTTGCCGACGAGCTCCACAGCAGGATGCCAACTCGAGTGGGCTAACGTCGAGGGCTGCTCGAGGGGGTGGCTTGAAATTGGTTCACTGGAGGATTGGAGGGGACAGCACTGGGTAAAATGGGCAGAGTATTTTCGAAGGGGAATAAAGAATCATTTGTTATAGGGTCCTAAAAGACTCGGCATGACTTTTCGGAAGTCCTAGGGAATCATCAGATAGAAAATCCGGATTCATTTATCTATTCGGCTTCTGGTGTGTCCTCGCGCTCTGACGATTTTATTCTGAGATGGTAGTTAATACCAAATCAGAGTCAACCAGTCACTAATGTAGTTCGTAGGTATTACGTTTTTTGGTGGGGAGGTTGATAAGTAGGATACGAAACGGTAGTGAACATTTGTATTATTGACGTTAACTGCATACCACAAATGCCTATTTTCTCTTGCGATCATGATATGGTGATAGTTGAAGAGACTAAGCTGTTGGCGTTGATGCATTGTCCACTACCAATCAGTTCACATCTTAAAGCCACGAGTCAGGATTAGGCAACCAGCAGAAGTTCTTCCCAGGGTGCGATAGTGGGCTCCCCAAGCACTGAGGGCGCGACACTATCGCGACCCAAAAGTGCGCGGCAATGGCGCTAAGGCCTTGCCGCCCGCGCTGCCAGCGTAATCCACCCACGGCATACGTGGTCTCTGCGTCCTCTCGCGTACGACGTACTATCTCGCGTTCTCCTCTCCTCGCAGCGCTGTGTCTCTCCGTCGTACTACGGCCGGCCTCCTAAGGGAAATTTAGTGTTTTCTATGGTGCTTTTTGCTTTTTCTCCTCACTAGTGTTCCCTATTGCACCTCCTTGCCTAATGTTTGAACAAAATAAAGCATCAATTCAATCCTGACTCGTGCCTTTACCCATAACGGACGGCGTGCGCCACAAGGTGGCGCACGACTATTTCTTTTGTTTTTGGAATGTTTCTAGCAATCTTAATATACCCATATATACTCTCAGCAATGTGGAATAACATATCTTCCCAGGACCTGGACGGCTGGATTTTTGACAAACCTACAATAAATTTTACATACATTTTGTCTTAAATTACATAAGTTTACTATTTGATGGGTGGCTTACCCATGGTTCGCACGTCCCGAGACCCCTTCCCCTAAATATAGCCACATCCTTGCTCGGGGTTGTTGTTTCGCATTTTTCGATAATGTCACCTACAGCTTCCATTCATTCTTTGCACCCTAGTTTTAGAGCGGAAAGGCGGGCTACGAACTTGTCGTCAACGGAAATCTCTTTTTTCGGATGATGAGACTCCGACACCTACTTTAGCCCCGTCTTACCCCTGCTGTTCACATAAGCCTACATAAACCCTACCCTGGGTGGCGGCGTGCGCCACATGGTGGCGCACGCAACAAATACACTGGCCGTCCGTTATGGGTTAAAGTGGTAGCGGGCGAAGCTTAAATAATAGTCTAAAGAAGGTGGATGGAATTAAAGAGGCGTCAGTGTCGCCGTTCAACCAAGAATGATTACTGGTGCGACGGTTGAAGAGGAAAACCATATGGCATGTATTACTGGTTAGCGAATTTCGAAGTAAGCTAGCAGACGAACTAGAAAGCATTCACTTTGATTGAAGGCACATCGAACCGCATGAGCAAGTTGAGGTCCAGGAAAGTCTTGGTCAGAAAAGAACATCGGCAGCTGAAATGATGTACTTCTGCTAATCAAGCCATATACGCTATCACTGGATAGAAGCACAAGAGCTTTACCTCATTATTTTGTTTTCCTTAAAAAATTACCTAGCAAGCTTTATGGTAGCGTAGGTGAAGCGCTCGACTTTAGATAGGAATGCGTCGCGCATTTCGACTTTTATTCAAGAGTGCAAAGTCTCTAATCACCCGTCAGGTGGCTCTAGACTCTGCTATATGATGGGCTATTCTATGATGGGCTAGTGGAGCGACCATTCTAGCGACTTCAGTAACAGTTAATTGAAACTATTCCAGGAAACTTTACGCTAGAGACAGGCTGAAGCGAGGATTCTACGATAAGCAGGCCAACGTGTAGAAAGGGATCGGAGGGTTCTATACAGATCGATCGCCTTATTTTCCTCTGGGTTGTTGCGCTTTCGGGCCAACGTGAGCGAAGTAACATAGGCAAATTATTATATGCCTCAGCCCCCCGGTGCATGTTGCTATCCATTCAGTCGTATTGAACTTGCGACTATTCCTATGATCTTGTCATCTAAGGGAGCTTAACACGCATCCTTCAGCGAGAACTTTTCGCCACGCCTACAGACGGCAGTATTAGACGGCCTTTTAAGGCATTTCTCAGCGACAGTTGGAGTTTGAAATAAAATTCTTCTGTAACCTTCACTATTCTAGGAAGAAAACATTTGTATGTGAAAGGATTTTGCATGTGCACGATCCAATTCTTCGTGAATCATGCTGAATACGAATAATGTGGGAATAGCCTAGCCGCTATTTACCGAGTGTTGGACCGCCCTTCACGTTGGGGACAGGTATCTAAGGCGACAATCTGTGATGTTGAATCATCGCGTACACGCATGAATCATGATACAACTCTTTTTCGGGCGGCGACGTGCAGCAAACACAATGGCGCTCAATTGGACAGCGATGCGTCAGATCCAGATTAAAACTTCGGGTGCTCCAAGGCGGAATAGGAAAGTAGGGAGAGAGCGTTGGAACGTAATGGTTAACTATGACTCAATTTATAGTATTATATTTTTCTACGTATGGGCATAAAGGATAAAAGATAGAGCATCCAGGGGAGTGGTCAATCCCTCTTTGGGATGCGCCACATATTTTACTTTCACTCAAAATCGTAGAGGCATTTTGAATGCGATTCGGGCTATACAATGACTTAAAAGTGCCAGCTAATAAAAGTTTATGTTTCACAAGAATGCTGGGTTGTGAACAAAACTTTCGCCCCAGGCGGGACTAGAACCCGCACCTCTCGCTTTCCGGGCAAGTGCGCTACCAGTTACGCTACCGGGGCACCATTTCATCCCAACTCAGCTTTTCATGGTTTCATGTTTTATTTTCCAGGTAAGCCTATACCAAATTAAACGATCTTTCAAGGGTGGAAGAGACATGGTTGGCCTGGCAACTACGATTTACGATTGACCCTGAACCAGGCCTTCGATAAGCTGCGTCGCTTGTCACTGCCCAGCTTCCGCCCTCCTACACTAGCATCATGCCTCCTATTTCACACTGTATGCGTATGTTTACATTTATTTATTGCTTACATATCTTGTTGATGTTGCCCTAAAAAATGGGCGCGACTTAAACTGGAGGAAGACAGTATATACATAATTGGCCAAAATGACAGGTCAAGGGGAAGGACTAAATAGTATTCTGAACTGATTTTGCGATGCGCCATGCCTTCACCTCCCACTGTGGATTGCGTAAACACTTGAGTGCGAGTTCTAGCTGTTAAACCAAATATTTTCGGACAACATAAGTATAATGGCGCAAGAAAAGAAATAGGATTCATGTAATGCTGTAGTTGTTTCTGCTATTTGTTAGTCAAAAAGCATGCAGATAAAGCGGCATGGTGAACTGGCTGAGCCCCGTAGACATAAATGAAAGTACGAAAGGACTTGAAAACGAACCGTTTTCTCGTTAAGCACGTCGAAATTGCACATTGATTGGCATGCCGGGTTCACGGCTCTTTTACGACAGCACAAATCCAGTTTTTCGTTCGGACTCAGACCACTTTGAGCTTGCGAACTTGACGATATCTGCATGTCGCGCCATAGAACTGGAAGCAAACTCTCAAGTCACGAGATAAGAAATCTTCTGGAGAACAGATCATCATACTATTTTGGAGGCACTATGGTAGTGTTTGCAGTAAGGAAAGCTGAATCAATCGAACCACTATTGAGAGCGAGTTTCTTTTCCCTCTGAGGTAGATTGCCTTTCGTACGAAGAGCAATGTTAATGGGGAAAGCACCATGGAAAACGCCTGAAATTTCTCGTGCCGAAGTCGCCGTTACGAGAGGAGACAGAGCGTGCGAGGGAAAGTGGAAAACATGGAGAAAGCACGTGGTACGGCGAGGAAGCGTCACGTAAGCCTTCACGTATGCTGGGGGAGCGGTCAACAGAATCGTCTCGTCGTCGCGGTGCGGCGTCGCGGGACGGCGTTTTCCGAAGATCACGGATTTCTGACTTTGACGCGCTTGATCAGACTGAAGGCAAGTATAATAAAGATCTTAAGGAACGGCCTGTTTTGGTCCACTGTATCATTAAAGCTCAAATGATAGCTCTCAGAAAAGCGGCACGCACCGCTACGTCGCCAGCCATTGACAGTAGCGTGGGGACCCGGACGATTCTGTTGACATACACCCCGTATGCTGCAATTGATAATGATGATTTTTTTCTCGACACATGGAGAAAAATTCGAAAATTTGCTCAGCGATCTATATTACCCTATTCGCCGTCGTGCCCTTACTTGAGAATTCCAGTCTGAACAGCTAATGGTGAGATTAAATCTTGTAGGAAGAGTTGGATAGGTATGAGAGTTCGCGACTCCGTCACAAGTTGAGATGGGCGCGATTATGGCGCGATGCCAGGACCGCAAGTGAGGCGTGTTGTTTTCCATGAGTGTGGATTGTACTGTACGCATTCCCAACTCCGCGATCCTGACGGCTGAAATACCGTCCCCCCACGCGATAACTCACAATTACAGTTCAGGAAGTGGCCGCTAGCTTATGCGTAGCTAGAGCTAGTAGGGGTGTCCCCGTATTCACGCGGCAAAGGAAGAGACGCGACGCGACCCAGACCTCAATTGCCGCAGTCTGGGGCAATTGAATGTGGAGGAAAGTAAATAGCGCAAAAAAAAAACAAGAAAAAGCGGCGTGTATAAGCAGATATCGAATTTTGAGCCCACGCCGTGGAGTGAATGGTGTTGTACGTATATGTAATGCGTTCTATTGAAATTGACGCCTAACCGCTACAGTATGCGCTGGGACAGGGTCAACCCTGCGTTGCGCAAAGAACAACGAGGGGGTCGTATTCAGCCGACCGAAAAGGGAGGGGGTCGTATCCACAGACGGGCTGCAAGACGGCTTGAAAAGTGCAGTGTCCGGGAGTGCACTTTCAGCCTCTAATGTTCTCCAGGAGCTCTGCACGCTGTCGGAGAGTCACACAGACATGAGCTCCATGGGAGCATTAAAGCATGCAGAGCACTATAAGTCTCACCATCAGCTTATTATCCTTAATCGACGCTATCCGGACGGCGCTTTTGCTCCGCGGCATAGATCAAGAGTACAATAGACAATAGCCAAAAACTTTGTTACAGTGTAGTGCAAAAACATGGTCTGTCTTCGATGATGAAACATTCCTGAAATCCCGAGGAGAACAAAGTGTAGAGCAGTTCATGGGAAAGTGAAACAAGAGTGCCATATAACAGCACAATACAACTCAATCAGGATACTAACACCTTCTTCAGGAAAACAGAAGACTTTCAAATGCGAGTGCGAATTCTGCCCACAGATAGGTGCACGGCGTATACCCGAGCAGGCGTTTTCCATAAAAACGCCTCCTCTGTCAGCGGCCGTAAGCAGACAAACTTTCTGAAGAGAGTTTTGATGCTTTCAAATAAAATCTAAGCGAAACAAAGTGTAGCGAATTTGCTGAATTGAGTTCTAGAGACGCCGTAGGAAAATTGAGGCAGAAGAAGGAATTTCAGGGAAATTTTCACAGTTGTTATGAAGTACTCTTCGAGTGGATTCCAACAATCTTTACCGCTTCTCATCACATTAATTTAAAGGAAGTTATGGGCCTTTGAAGACTGCATAGTCGCGGTCCAGGAAAATGGCTTGAAAAAAATCAAGGTGGAATGACGGAACAACGGGACTATTTTTTGAGCGAGTGATTATTTCAAGAAGTTTTAGCACTTATTCGAAAGCTCTAATCCTCTAGTTTCTAATTAGCCTTAGACATCTGCAAAATGTTGAGTATGAAGAAAGTTATTAACGTTTGAATGTCGAAAACTCGCGCCTTCTCAAAAATCGGACCCCAAACCACCCAAGAACGGAACAACGGGACTATTTTTTGAAAAAATGATCGCTGGAAAATTTTCAGGTGCTTGTTCGAAAGCTCTAATCTTCTAGTTTCTAATTAGCCTTAGACATTTGCAAAAAGTTGATTATGAAGAAAGTTATGAATGTTTGAATGTCAAAAACTCGCGTGTGCACAGAAAACGGAACAACGGGACGATTTTTTGAAATACTGAACATCCACAACATTTCAAATACTCCTCAGAAGAAAACTATTTATATTTTTCAAAATTTTGGTGTCCGATTTCATGAAACAGCTTCTGAAAGAAAATATAACCTTCTGAATGGAGGGGTTTGGATTGCAATGTAATTGCTACAAGGTTTAGTTTTTCAGATTATAAGGTAAGGAAAGTTGAGAGATCGAAAAAATCCTGGTGGGTTTCTGAAAGTAGAAATCTTTACGATTAAAATGATGTATTGGTTTACGCAAAAATTTGGAAATTCCTTCTATTTAATGAATAAAACTTCATTTGCCTCGATTTCCTCCTCTGAGCGAGACAGAGCGCGCGGATTGACCACGGTCCACCACTTCTCCATGTTGGTGACTGCCATCATTGATGAGCATTGATGAGCATTAAATTATGTGAAAGACATGATAGTTAATATGGGGGGTCGTACCGATACCCCCGAAAAGGAAGGGGGTCGTAAAAATTTGGAATTTGCGCAACGCAGGGTTGACCCTGGCAAACTCGTCCATGAGCTCTGCGTCTC